TTACTGTATCTTTCTTTTGGATAACTTCAACCAATTAGGACTTTAATCACAGCACCCAGATTAGTGTCTGAGTGATTGACTGGGACTGTAGTTCAGCCTAGTCAAGAAACTTAATATTGTGACAATTTTTCAGTATCTATCCTTAGATAACTATTTCATTCTTCTTAATGTAATATGGATGTTTCATAATTTTTGAAAAATGAAATATTCTTTGGTACAATTTGAGGTTGACATAAGTTATATTAATTAAGAGTTTGTAATTTATGGCATATTGTAATATTGATATTTAAAAACAAAACTGATTCACTGCTCTTTAATTACTTTAAAAGCATCATCCATTTTAAAAAATCCTATGAATAGGCTTTTGACAGCCAAATTTTACCTTGTTTCTTTGCTTTTTGAACTTTCATTCCCATTTCTTTTCCATCACAAAGTGTTGTCCTATCTGACAGGCTGTCATTCTCCTCAGTAACAGAAATATGGACAGAAATTGAAGCTAAATATTTATTTCCTATAACTGTAAGGCCCCAAGGTTAAAGACATTTATTATAATTGTTAGTACATATGTGAACAAAACAACATAAATATATTACTTTTGCTTATAATGAATTCTTAAAAACCCAATATTGTAAATGTATCCTTGTGAAGGTGTGGATTTAGTTTTAGTTAATTCCTGAATTCATGACTTACTACCTAAAACAAGACAGGCTCATTCAGCATTACTTTTATTTCTCTTTTTAGTTTTTATAGCTTTAAGTTCTGAGAAATGTTGTTCCCATAAATAAATCTGTGGGAGAGGAAAGAGTTCCTCAGCTCTTTAAGTTACATGCCAAAAATTGTTGTGGTGTATCAACAGAAATTATTTTTGATGATTTGTGAGCTGGATATTTTAACTAGGTCTTGTTAGTTTTGTTGAAAGCAAAGAGTTATGGAATAATAGCTCACCGCAGGGTTTTCCAGTTGTTCATTGGAGGCGTTGCCATGTTTCAGACTGGCCCTGCGTTTGTACCTCAGGTGTTCATTTCCTGGATGGACAGTGTACCCAAGTATAATTAGAGTGAATATAATTATAATAAGAAGTAATTTTTTTTTTTTAAAGTGAAACAAACTAATTGACCAGAAGTGCTTTCTCAAGGAGAATAATTTTTAGGAAATAGTACTTTCTGGAAGGCAAGGATCTTGCAATTGAGATGCTGGGAACTGGCCCACACCCAGGAACTTCCTGAAAGTATTTGAGTGCTTTGAGGTTTATGTTTATTCCAGCTTGAAGCTGGTTGCCTCAGAACATTGTTTCTTTGACGTTAAGAGTCTTTAAGAGGAAAAGGTATATTTAGTCAAAACCACTCTGTTGATGATGGGCATAAATGAATTTTAATTGTTGTATTCCCTGTGGGACGTCTCCCCATCAGGGAACTCATCTACTTAGTATAATTTATTTAGTTGCTCATGGAATGAGAGAGAACAGGAATGAGTATGTGTAGAGGTTCCTAGAGGATGTTAGTGTTATGAGTAATACTCTTTGGGAAATATCCTATATAATAAAAGCCTAATATACTAAGTGTCCAGTCGTCTGGTTGGCCATTCATTCAAAGAGTAATATGCTAATGATATGCTAAAGCCTCTCAACTGCTTGCTATGATGTGCATTGACCACCAGGGGGCAGATGGCCGACCAGTCACTATGATGTGGCACTGACCACCGGGGGTAGATGTTCAGACTGGTAGGTTAGCTTGCTGCTGAGGTCCTGCCTGGATGACTGGATATGCCCTGCAGCCCTCCCATATCCCTCCCCAACCCCGATTTTGCACCTGTGGGGCCCCTTGGCCTGGCCTGCACCCACTCACAGTCCAGGACCTCTCAAGGAATGTCAGAGAGTCGGTTTTGGCCTGATCCTGAAGGCCAGGCCAAGGGTCCCCACTGCTGCATGAATTCGTGCACTGGACCTCTAGTCAAATATATGCAAACTTTTTTTGTCTGTTTGGTATAAGAGAAGTGTGAAATTTTCAGCCTCAACATGGCCAAGTCAAAGGTCACCCAGGTTACTTGCAACATCCTCAGGGTTTGGTGGTGACTAGGTGTCACCAAAGAACAAGAAGAATAATTGTAAAAACAACACCTTTGAGTGACGTGCCGTGGATCATGTTCTTATTTTTGAAGCAGAATCTTTTGTGCCCTGATTTTGAGTGGGGACTGAACAGCCCTGTAGCCATGACAGTAGGCTAGGTTTTCACGTGTGCTATTGGCTACATGGATCTTAAGTAAAGGCACTGCTTTCAGAGTTGTGTTTTGGAAAATGAGGTTTAAGAATGACATGCTTTTCAGGTAACACTGCCTTGTGTTTCAAGTGCTCATTGTGGCACTCTGACCCCTGCAATGGGAGAAGATTCTAAAATTTCCTGGGCCCATAACTGCTGAGGGCTAGAAGATTAATGACTGAAGTCTCAATGAGTGTGCCCTTTGAGATAGGCTCTTGACTACTGGTGAACACACAGAGCTGTCTCTACGAAGGTGCCCAGTGAGGGCTCAGTTCTTTCCCATGATAATTTTCCTTGAAAACAAAACCCTGAGGTCCTTTGGACGTGGTTCCTGCATTCTCCCAGTGGAACCTAGAGGTGGTCAATGGGACCACCCACAGTCCCTCTACCGTGTTTGTCCTTTCTTTCCAGAGCAGCACTAACATTTTGGGATGGTATTGATAAGTGTAGCAGTTATAAAACCTAGGATTTGTCATGTAGGAATCCATTGGGATGGAATGAGTAAAAATATTAAGCATGTTTTTTTTTTTTTTTTTTTTTTTTTTTTTTTATAGGAAACATTATACTTTAGAAACCTTGTTAATTGTGCATAATTTGTGACACCTCAATCTATTCTGTAAAAGGTTTAAATAACCCTATCTTGTATTACCCTATGTACAAACAGAGAAAACCAACTATGAGGAAGGTTACATTCTCTATATTAAAAATTCCCATCTCCAATTTATTCTTTGCCCAGTGTAAATTGTTTATTACTTTAAATGTGGTTTCTGCTTGGGGCCACCTCCCTTCCTTAGTGCCCATCATTGGGAGCTGACTGTATTGAATTACTCTTATGCACTCTTACAATGAATGTTGTTGTTTTAAGGTCTTCTTTTTCTTTGTGATTCTTTTGTTCCCTAGCGTCGTCCCCCAGACTACAGTAATACTCAACAGTGATCGGCAGAACGCCATTGTAGCCAAGATGGACGACCCCTTGAGCAACAGGGCACCGGATTCCCTGGAAAATATCATTAGCAAGTCAGTAGCCACAACATCATCCCCACCTTTCACTGCCACTGCCACTGCCACTGTGATGAGTCCCCTTGAGGACAAATCAACATTCTGACTGGACATTTCTGTCCTCACATGGGCTAAGCCCAAAAGGCACTGTCCACACTTCTTTGTGGTGTGGGGGCTGTGCCATGCTTTGGACCGAGGTCCCATCAGATGAGCTGGATAAGAGCAAGAGGTTAAAGGACAGATAGGATTTGGGCGTTTGGGACTGTTGTGTTCAGTGTAGTGTATGGTATTGAGGCATGATGTTTGTTTTCACAATAGTCGGTCAAGCCCTTATCCTCTTACCTGCTCATGGCTTACATCAGTATGTCTGCCCAGTAGCATGTCAAGTCAACAGATATCCTCATGTAAATTTGCTAAGTGGTGGAGATATTTTGAGGTGATGGCTTTTTTCTCAACCCTTTTCTTTTGAGATATTTTAAACATAACCTTTTTCAGAGATGGGAGTGTATAAAAGGCATTCTCGCCACCCTTGTGTGATGATGAAGTGAGTTCCAAGTGGCCTTGTCTAGTGGTTGGGGCTCAGTTTTTTCTGATAACATTCCTCTAAGAGGGTTCCTTTGCTTTTTGTTTCCTACCTGTGTCTTCACAATGTTCTGTTTTGCCTGTTCTCTCAGTCTCCTCTGCCGATTGTTCTCCTCCAGCCGTGTCCTATTTTCTTCGTTGTCATAGCCTGAGTGTCTGAGGGCCTGAGTGCTGGGGTGCAGGGAGACAAGGTGAAGTATGGGTGTCTAGGTGCTCAGAGGTGGAGGAGGTCTGGCCAGTGGAGAAGAGACAGGGGCAGGTGTGCCTTTCAATGGCTTGGGTGAAGGACAGCCCTCAGAATCTGAGCCTTTAGGAGCCAAGTCAGCCTGGACAAGCCTCTGTGGAATCAAAGTATATAGCTCCCTTCTCTGAGTAGGGCTAGGATTCGAAACATGTTTTAATATGTAAACAGGGAAATTATGCTTCTCTCTCCTTCTCAGTACTTAGCAGTCCACGTTGAAGGGCCATTGAAAGGGTCTTTAAAAAGGCAAGTAGCATGTCTCCAGATAATATCTTTACTTTTTACTTTTTGAGTACTTTTCGAGCGGGGCTGTGTCCTGTTTTTCTGAACAATATCTCATTGCTTCGTATAGGACCCCTGATGGTGGTGAGAGTATTTCATCAGAGATACTTGACTGGCTTTTTAAACCTACTTAAGTGGTTTTTGTCAGTGGAAATCATTGGGAGTGATAACTGCATTTTCAAAGGCTGAGTCATTTCTAGAATGTCTAACAGTATGGAGTAGATTAGATCAGTGGAAGTCTCTAGCCAAACTGCCTCCTAATGTACTAGTAGTTTTTCCTTTGACATGGCTAAAAAGTTACTATATGTGAATGTCAACGTTTTGTAGGGATACCTCTGTGATCCAAAAACAGCATTTAGGCCTTGAGTCACTGAAAGCTGTGATTTTATTTCATGATATGAACGCTTTTTTAAATTCTTAAAATGTTATATAGTTTCTTCCAACCTCAAACTATTTACTGGTATCAAGTTGCTATTAATCTTAGTAGAGGAGGTGCATGGGAAGACTTGTGCCCACTGCTCCGTGTGAAGTTAGCCTCGGACAAGGGGAGGAAAGAGGAACATGCAGCAACTCATTGCTAGTCTCTGCCTGTCAGTAGTGCTGCTCTCACAACACTGGTGGTGTTTTTGTCTCCTGCTCAGCGCGGTTCCCGGGCGTCGGCAGAACACCATTGTGGTGAAGGTACCCGGGCAAGAAGACAGCCACAATGAGGATGGGGAGAGCGGGTCCGAGGCCAGTGACTCCGTTTCCACCTGTGGACAGTCAGGAAGTCAGAACATCGGAAACAACGTCACCCTCATCACCCTGAACTCAGAAGGTGCGCTCACGAAGCCTTCCTTTCCTTTGCCTGAATAGCATTAGGTACTCCCCACCCCCTTTTAGAAAATTAATATATGTTTATTGTTTTTGAAGTGACAAAATAGAAAAATGATGAAGAAAGTGTAAATAACCTAGTAAATTCCACATCCAGAGAGATCTATACATTTCCTGGGTATTTTCTGTATTAACATACACACTAATTTATGATTTTATAACTTGCTTTTTTTTCTTTGCATAGTAGAAATCTTTCCATATTAATACAGATTTACAAGTCATTTTCAGTCAGTTTCACTTATTTAATCAAGTTCTGGAGGCTTTCTAGTGATGGAAAATTGTAATTTTTATAGCTAGTGGTATAATTAGTATGACTCACTGTCTTAGACAATAGGTCTATCCTTGCCTCTCTGATCAGGACCCAACATTGACTCTCAGAGGTGTTGCACATTCAAGTCGGGTCCATGCTATGAGCTGTGTTGCCTCTTCCAATGAGATTTAGAGGTTATAAGTCAGGACCATTCTGTGGTATCATTCTATCAAGAGAAAACATTTTGTAATACATGTTTTACGACACTGTCCTTGGGAATGCTTCCCCCAGTAGTTTCAATGTTACGAGAACTTGGACTGAGCAGCCTTAGTTGGCACAGTATTTGGGGAAAATGATACAGAGAAGGGTGGGTGGAGTCGTCTTTAAGTCACTGCTGTGTATGTGATGTTGGAGAAAGAGCTAATCCATTAAAGGCTCTTGTATCAGATTTACTACTGACCTGTAGGGCGTCATCTGTTAAATATTTCTGTGAGATTTATGAATGCACTGAGAATCGGATTAGCCATCTCCTGCTGTGTCCTCCCCTAAGACTTGAGCAGCTTGCTCAACTTGAATGTCAAGTAAGCTAGTTAATATTGGAGAAACATTATTAATATGCAAAGTGCTAAAGGGCCATAGGCTTGTCTGTAGATTGAGTCATTTTAGTTCCTGATAAGAGTCCAGAGCTACAACAAGACAGATTGTTCTTATCTCCTTATAAAAATCCTAGAGACCTGGTGCATGAAATTCATACATGGGGTGTAGGAGGAGGAAGAGAAGGGGTGTCCCCTCAGCCCAGCCTGCATCCTCTCATAATCCAGGACCGCTGGCTCCTAATTGCTCACCTGCCTGTCTGATTGCCCTTAATTGCCCCTTCCCCCTGCTAGCCTGATCACCCCTAACTCTCCCCCCACTTCACCCCACTGTCCTGCTCACCCCTCACTACCGTCCGCCCCCTCCCTGACCTGGTAGCTCCCAACTACCCCCCCGCCCCTGCTGGCCCGGTCAACCCTCACTGCCCCCCTCTGCTGGCCTGGTTGCCTCTCACTAACCCCCCTCCTAGCCTGGTGGTGCCACGCAGCCTGCTGGTCATTCGTTTGGTCATCCCTCACTACCCCCCCTGCCAGTCTGGTTGCCCATGCAGCCTGCTGTTTGGTTGTTACTGTGAGGGTGTTGTGACCAATTTGCATAATACTCTTTTATTAGTATAGATTTAAGTGCCTGAAGTTTTAGAGAACCACAGGTATCAAAGTGGTTAATTCTGAAGAATTTCAAATGGTTTGCATGAATTGACATGCTGTTTTATATCAAATTTAGAGTTGCTTTATTTATAGCAAAGATACTGTATCATTTTATTTTGTATTTTGCTTAGGCAATTTCATCTCTCATGGCATGAACTCCATTAGAATGAGAAAGAAGTGCTAAATGTCTTCTCTTGGAGGTTTTTGTCTTGGTGTACTTCTATTTTTGTTAAGTAGGGAAAGTGTTGGGTATAATCCTTTAAAGGTAAGCAGGCTAATTGAGTTAGAGAAACAAATGAGCGATACAGAACAAAAATGGGATCTGTTGACTAATGAAGGGATTTAGTTATAGTCTTAATGAAGAGTTTAAATTCCTCTGTTCATGCATTTGGTAGCTCTTAGAAAACTTGACTAAGTCTCTGTATAAAATGTTGGGTACTTAATTTTAGTGAGAGCGTTGTACCTCAGGTATAATTTAATCAATATCAGAGATTGGCCTCATGAATATTCTAAAGCCCAGTCAGTCAGCTGTCTTATATGATAAATATCTGTGATGGGATAGTCATCTGGGAGAAGCATTTTGAATTTCTGTGTTCACAAAACATTAGTCATACATACATAAAGAGGGAATTTAGCCAAAAACATTTCTTGATAATTTATTTTACATAAAACTTTTTTGCATATTTTTATGTGTGATAACATTAAAACATTTTACTAGTGATCATAAATTGGCTGCCAAAAATAGGATTACAGACAGGTTAATGACCATAATGTAATCAAGAGAAACTAGTAAGAGAATGTTGGTGGATGTGTGAGCAATGAATGACCATGCAGTGAACGCTGCGCTTGTCCTAGATGAGAGAAAAGGGGCCGCAGGGTGATCTAGAATAGGACTGGGAAAGTGACATCATTTCAGCATCTCATGTTGCGTTTCAGAATCACAGCATGTGACTCTAATTAGGGACTTTCTGTCTGTGCCCAGGGGTTCCCACTCCTTTATGCCAAGGGATGCTCTTCATCACTCGTTTCAGTATCATCACTTGTTTCAGTATGGCTGAGCTCAGGACATTATCTGTGCTGAGCAGCCAGGAGTTCACAGGGAAAGAAGAAGCCCTGCAGTCCAGCTTTGACCTCCAGGACTGAGGTGTCTGGGCCTGAGTAGGTGGCCCTGGCCCTCAGCCACGGCTGTAGTGTAGGTCTTCTTTTTCCTCTGCTCAAGGCCATCAGGGCGCCCAGTTACAGAGAACTCAGGGTGCCAACTACTTCAGGGATGGTTGAATAGTGTTTTCATTTTAAGAAATGTTTGAGCATTACTGATAAAATCTTTATAATAGAATTGCTGATCTAAAACATATCACTGAAAAAAACCAAAGCAAAATTAGCCCATACCAGAAAAGCATTTTAAAAGAAAAAAGTAGAATGTTAAAATTTCCAAATTGAAATCTCTATAATTTGTAGTTTGGGGAATGCCAATCTTACAAATTTTTAAAATTTTCAAATTTTCTTTCATATCATTATAAAGTCCTGGTTTCCTAGAAAGCACCACCTGTTGGAAGGCCACCTGTCTTTCACAGTTGTCCTCTTCGCATGTGATTCAAGACACACCATGCCTTCACATTCTCTTTTAATCCTAGTCCCTTCCCCATCCTGAGTATTCAACTGATTTATGGTTGAGATGAAGATCTTTTTGAAGCATCTATATATGACATCAAAGAAATTTAGCTAGCAGATGGCCAGAGCTAACATGAGAAAAATGTAGCTTTACTTTTACATAAATAAAAATAGCCCCTAGGGTCCTGGAATACCCCAACACATGATTCTTTATGGAATAGATAGTTGTAAGTGGTACAACAATAAAGTGTTTCATGAATTACATGCAGGATTCTTATTCTCCACCTCCATGGAAGAAATTAATTCTTTTCAGTTACAGTGAATCCATGTTCTGGCACTGGAAATACTTGATGTATGTTTACAGTAATGCAGCCTGAGAGGTTTCAGGACACTGGCCTGAGAATTCCTACTCAGCATATCCTATGTGGGTTTATTCTGTATTACCATCCATACTTGAAACTATTTTATTTTATTTTATGCAATTTGCTGCTTTTGAAATAAATAAACAGTTTGGGCAGGCCTTGACAGAAACCAGATGAAAATTAGTTTGGGGTAGTGATGGAAAATACAGCCTGACACCAGTTCATGACCATGAATCTGTTCTCTGAAGACTTTCCTAGAGATGGTGAGAGCTGACCTTGAGGAACTAGATTGACATGAAGTTTGTCGTGTTGTGGAAATGACACTCTTCTGTGTCTCTGAACCATTCTGAAGCCTTTAGTGTATCATAAAGTATTGACTTCTTTTGGTTTGTTTTGGGTAGAGACTAAAATAGGTCATTAGTTAACCTCTAATGGCTACAAAGAACTGATTATATAGTCTTAGTAATAGCAGCTAACGGACCAGCTGTGACAGACAGCTCTCAGCAAGGATGAGGGGACATCCCAGAGCAGAGGCAGTGCAATGGGAATCCACAGATGTGTCCAAGCAGAACTTGCTCCCTTCTCTTTCCACATCAGAACTGCTGATCCCTTATGACACCACGACCCTTGAGACGTTTCTTGTGGCTGGGGGGCAGGCCACCACGGGCAAAGCCATGTCATCTTTGGAAAGAGCTGAGGTAGCTTGGTTGGTGCTAGAAGGCAATTAGACTGCCCAGCCTTGTTCTTTCTGGGTCCTTTCACGCACAAGATGTGTGCAGACATGGATTTTGCCTTTGGAGGAGGGAGGGTACGTCATATGGAGTCAGCTTAGCAGAGAGCCCCCAAGTTGCAACAGTGGACATGAAGTCCTTGTACAAAGTAGATGCTGAGTAAATATTCTCTTTTTTTTTTGTCCCATGTAATCTCCTCTTGTCCTTGGAAGACAGATTTATTGAAGTTTAGGCCCTGGGATAGGAGTATGACTGGGAATCAAGGCTGACTGGCATCGTGGGCAGGAATGTACATCATGATCTCCGGGGATTGTGTATGTATGTCGACAGGTGTGGAAGGAAGCATAACAGCAACTGATTGTGCTTCTTGTCTTTAAAATGTACGTGGTCCTCCTCTTCACCTCCGTGCTTTCTCCTGGTCACTTCGTTTTCCTGGCACTGAAATGGGGCCTCAGAACAAACGTGTGATCTGAACTGTTTTAGTGGTAAGAAAATTTAGGTTAGTGCTGAAGGGTTTTCATTGTAATAGGTTTTTCAGAAGTGCCAGTCCATTTTATTGAAGATTTAAATGATTGGAATAGAAAGCAAGTTTATTTTTCTTACATTCTGACTGGTAGTTTTCAAATAAAGCTACTAGAATCTTTCTATTGTTTCAGATGCCAAAACTGGACCAAGAAATTTTAGTAAAACAAATATATCCTTTCTGAATTGTCAAAAGGCAAATTTCTCAAATATTTATGTGGGCAGGT